AAAAAGTCAATATTACAAAAATGATCTATTTCAATATAAAATGTAAATCAGTATCAAAATTTGATAAATTACGAAAGTAAAAGCATCATATATAAGTGAGGTAGTTAACTAAGTATATAGAAGAATTTTAAAAATTAACATTAAGTAAATACCAAAATAATTTGGCAAATGACTATCTTAATTTTGTTATTTCTAAAAACGTGAATGGTAACAAAAATATATACTATAAAAAATATGTTAATAAATACAGTTATTCATTACATATACAAAAAAAATCTAAATATTACTTATTTAAATATTTAAATTTTCTACAAATTAAAGAGAAAATAAAAAATTATATTTTCTGAGTACAAAGAAAAATTATATATTATGCTGAAGTTTAATCATTTATTTTGTTAAAAATTTAAAAATCTGTGATGAAAATATTATAACGTGTTAACAGTTTATATGCATTGAGAAATCTATTTGATATTATAAAATATAAATTAATATTTCTAAAAATTATGAATATGTTTACATAACCATAATTATTATATTTACAAATACAAATAACCAAATAGCTAATAAGAAAACATAATTATAAGAAAACATAAATACTAAATTAAATTATATTNAATTATTATATTTACAAATACAAATAACCAAATAGCTAATAAGAAAACATAATTATAAGAAAACATAAATACTAAATTAAATTATATTTTAAATAATAAAATTATATTATTCAATTAATTTTTTTTTGTTTTAAGTTATTTTAAATCTAAGCTAAATTATTAATACAGACTCGCGCGTAGCGCGAGTATAAAATCTAGTCTATATTATAATAGTAGAGTTTCTAGGCTCCACAACGCGCCATGTCAGCAGTTTTGTGGGGCCCATATGTATATTTTTAAAACCCATAGTCTTGGTAAGATAATTATGAACAATGAAATACAATTTAGCCAAGTGGTATAAGGTTTCCAATTAATCATGCAAGGTCGTGGGTTCAAACCATGCAGCTATCATGTATTTTTGATTTTTTGATTTGGTTATTATCTTATGGGCTTTTTATTTATAAAGTTTTTATGTTTTTTGGGCTTATTGTTTTAAAGATCAAAATAGTTGGATAAACCCTAAAGTTTAACCAATTCAAACCCAAAAATAGTTAAAAATCGATTCAAAAACGAACAATAAAAAAACAAAAAAAAAAGCAAGTCTCACGCGGTTGCATACGCGGATGGCTTAAAGAACCTTATAACTATCCTATTATAATATAGCTCAACCCAAAAATAATAAAAATGGATCCAAAAACGAACAGACCAAAACAAAAAAAACACGCGGCTGCCTACGTGGATGGCTTAATGAAGCTTGAATAATATAGATTAAGATCTCAAAAATTTAATCCTTGCACAGATTTCCTAATATATATTTTCAAAAAAAAATTATATGTGAGATAAAATAAAAAGAAAAAGCAAAATTTAATTATTTTTTGTTATTTATTAAATGAATATGTAATTTCTCTTACATTTTAATAACTACTATAATTTCATTGAAAACATTCCTCACCACCGATTCCAAACCCCAGCGAATGGATTCTCACAGTCGATGACGCCGTAGATAAAAATGCCACATCATTTATGAACAAAACTCAAACTTACAAAAAACCATATATAAAAATCTATCTAATGAAACTTAAACAACGAATATTAACTTAATTAAGGTTATTTTCAAATTGATAAATCGTTTAATACAAATATAACTACTATAAATATAGAATTATATCAAGTTTTGACCTACGATATAAAAAATTATTTACAGCAAAAAAAAAACACCTAGGTTTACACACTAAAAACTATATTATAGTCTAACTGTTACTATAAACCTTATTTCGTATATAAATAACATTTAACACATTCCTAATATATTTTCAAAAAAATTGTATGTGAAATAAAATAAAATAAACAATAAATATTAAGTATTTTCGTTATTTATTAAATGAATATGTAATTTCTCTTACATTTTAATAACTACTATAATTTGATTGAAAACATTCCTCACCATCAACTCCTGACTCCGGCGAATGGATTCCGACAGTCGATGACGCCGTAGATAAAAATGCCACATCATTTATGAATAAAACCCAAACTTACAAAAAACCTTATATAAAAACCTATCTAATGAAACTTAAACAACGAATATTAACTTAACTAAGGTTATTTTCAAATTGATAAATCGTTTAATACAAATATAAATACTATAAATATATAATTATATCAAGTTTGACCTACGATATAAAAAATTATTTACAGAAAAAAAATAGACACCTACTTTTACACACTAAAAACTATATTATAGTCTAACTATTCCTATAAACCTTACTTCGCATATAAATAACATTTAACATATTATATATACAATATTTTCACTTTATACTCTTACTACATTCTTTCAGTTTCATTATTATTTGGTGTTATTAGAAGAATCCACTAAACCAACAATCAAGAAAATATTGCAAACACAATGATCCCAGTCCCGCGCTTGCGCGGGGAGTATGCAACTAGTAATATTAATTCTTGAAACCGTGATGATACTATATAGTAATAGTTTTTGTTCGAGTAAAGGACTTAATTAAAGAATAATAATATTAATTCTTGAAACCTTGATGATGACAGCCATGCACAATCTGATAGAGAACATGACACCCGGAAGAAAACCGCATGTGGAGATGGACCAAGAGGGTAACAACGAAGGAAAGTCAGGGGTAAATTCGTCACCTTACAATGGAAAGAAAGGCAGTGACGTGGAAGACGGTGCTCCCGGCGGTCCAAGGAAACAGCAGATGCCGCCGGCCAGTGTGATGACGAGACTAATACTGATAATGGTTTGGAGAAAACTTATCCGAAACCCTAACACTTACTCTAGTCTCTTCGGCCTTGCCTGGTCCCTTATCTCGTTCAAGTAAGTACTTATCATCATATATCACAACTCTAGCCCTTTCTCAATATATCTACATTTTCTTATCCATTTTACATAGATTTACAGTGTGGTTTGCTTGAAGTTGATTATATACATATTAATGATTTCATGGGACAGGTGGAATATAAAGATGCCAACAATAATGAGTGGATCGATTTCGATATTATCTGATGCAGGTCTTGGCATGGCTATGTTTAGTCTTGGTATTGTTCTCTCTCTTCTTCGTATATTATATGGTTTAACCTTACATAAGTCATTGATATATATTTGTGTTGCTCAGTTTTACTAATGTAATGATCGGGTTTATTGATTGTTTAGGTCTATTTATGGCATTGCAACCGAAGATAATTGCATGTGGAAAATCAGTGGCAGTCTTTGCGATGGCCGTGAGGTTCTTGACCGGACCAGCTGTAATTGCAGCCACCTCAATTGCAATTGGTCTTCGAGGCAGTCTCCTACATGTCGCCATCGTTCAGGTTCATTACTCTTAATAATTTTTTTTGATTAAAGGCTTATTACTCTTAAAATGTTATGACCATTTTTTCTTTAATTATCTCATATGTAAGAAAATTATTGAGAATTTTTATTTTTATTTTTGAAGGCTGCTCTTCCTCAAGGAATCGTTCCTTTTGTTTTCGCCAAGGAATATAACGTCCACCCTGATATTCTCAGCACTGCGTAAGTTTCGACATCTAAATATATTACATTTGTGGATTAAAAGTATATTTCTATAAAAAAAATTATATTCCATAAAACCTCAAAATATTTTGAAATGTATATACCGTTATTGAAGCAAACAAATCAATTAATTTCTAACTTTGATGTATATTAATGTTTGCAGGGTTATATTCGGAATGCTGGTTGCTTTGCCTGTAACAGTACTCTACTACGTTCTTTTGGGCATTTGAGTTACGATCAAAACGTAATGGCGAATCAAAGGCGATCATACGGCCAAAGGTGAATTTTTAAAACATAAAGGTTTACTAAGAAAAACCAAGACTAATTCATCCAGGTCAGGCTTAGGTGGATGGACCATGCAATGTCGCATTAAATTAATTTATAGCATTTTGTAGTAGAGATTTTAGTTAGTTTGGTGTAATTTATACGCACATGCATGTACGTGACTCTTTGTAACATTTATTAAATTTTTGGGATGTGCGTACAATAGTCTTTTAACAATTTATTTTTGTTTCTTCTGTTTATCGGTGATCGTGAATTGTGTTATTAAATAAGTAGTAATAGTAATTCAATCATATACTAGATCCCGCAAAGTGTGTTTAGATTAGATCATGTGCTTTTGCATCTCTATACTATACCATCTCAAATGCATCAATCCTTCCAAATTCAGCCTTTTTTGCAGTTCTTTTATCTTGTTCTCGTCTGTATGCGAGCGAATCGGAATATTCGATTGAAGGTTTAGTCGAATTTTAATATGTTGAGTAAAGAACAAGGAAACTTAATATATATGATTTATTTCTTCTATATAAAACTGACAATTATTAGATACAATGTATATATTATGTATATACGCATGAGGTGATTGTATATACACACCAACATAAACGTATTTTTCACCTCTAAGATAATGTTACACCGACGATTCTTTGAATGATAGATAGAACACGAGTGGATAAAGATGGTGTGTTCAGAAGTGAAAGAGAACAAAAGTCATATATGGATTGTCAGAATACGTACACAACAGCAGTTGTCACTCCTTTTTCTGGATTTAAAGCCACATGGGTAATGAGTAATGTAGTAAGACATTCCTAAAGTATGGTTTAACTTCTCAAAGGAGATGTCCATTTACATTTTTCACCAAAAAAAGGGAGATGTCCATATTTTTGCGAGGATTTTATTTATTTATATTCTATATATACTTCTCAAGCTATCTATTTTAATCAGGTCACTTTTCTAAATTATTTTTCTCCATTTTCTTTTGGTCAATATTTTTCTCCACATTTGTTTGCTAATTCTGCTTGATGATGTATATTAGTATATATATTAAAATAATATGATAGAAAAGAAGAAAAGACTATTGCTTTGCGTATGGATACGTTGACTGTGCATAACGTGAAAACGATCACGTGGGATATCAATACGAAGCGATAAACGTTGGAACTCGCTCTCTGGTCGGGATGTAAATTGAATGAACAACACCACATGAAATTCAATAACCATTCTTCTCTTGCTATATAGTTGTCCTGACTTCTGACAATATATATTTTAAAATTTTAAGCGAAGATTATTAATGGATAACAGAATAACATATTTATACTAGGAGTACATGATTTAACGTTTTGAAGTTTACAGAAGTTTTTGTGCATAGAGTAGGAGACAACATCTGGTCAGTGACAGCTCTGCTCTCTCTAGACACCTTAATATTATAATGTCTCAGCTTGTGTATTTAATGGTCATACTGTTTCAATTTGATATGATCAGACTGACATGAGCATGTTATAATCACCAAATCTTGTTTTAAAACATATGAAGATTAATCACATGTGGAACTATGATCAGACATGAGCATGTTAATTACGTACTACAGTTCTGAGTTTAGAAATTTTTAATTTGATTAATTGTGGGATTTCCCACTCCTGCTTGTGTACACTATCAAACTATCACACTAAAGCAAAAAAAAAAACACAGAATCTAATCCAACTCGTCCATACATCTTAAGATTATTCCTCATGATTATAATTAACTCGCTGCTCATATAGCAATTTAAAGAGAGACAAAAAAGACTCAAAATTGCAAATACTGTTGTCTGGACCTGAAAGATTTGCGTGAATACTGAGTCTGAATCTAACATAATCAGTTTTCACTATTTTGATAACTTCAAGATTATTAGGAGAGTACCTCAACTTAAGGGAGAGAGGATGGTGAGTGGATTCAGTTTCAGCTACTTTTTCCTTTCTGCTTAAGAGTTATCTTATCTCCAAGACACAGCAATCCCTTGTGTGTGTCTTGCTTGGATCCTTATGTAACCGCTAGCTTTTCATCTGTTGTTTGTTTCTCTATACTCACATTCACCAAAGCCTAGATCATTTAGATGACATTAGTTTGTTACATTACGCATGAATAGAAAAAAACAAAACAAATGAGCCTCAAAACTGGCCCATTTGAATTTGTAAAGTTACTCAGCCCTCAAAGCCTAGATCATTCAGATGACATTAGTTTGTTTTTTTTCTTTCTGCCGACCTAGTTTCACACTTCCCCTATTCTTTGTTTCTTTATAGTCTCACATCTTTCGTTACTCGCTAATCCCCTTTTATCCTCAAGTTTACTTGTAAGTTTTTATCTTGTTTGACTGAAATACGTATTTTCAGTTTTCTCTGCATACTAAACGTTTCATTTGCTAATGTATCCATACCAATTTAAGCAGGCAGGCAAGAAACGTTAAGGATAGTATACATACAGAAATACCATTTTCATTATTAGTCTTTCTGGATTCTTTATTTTGTTAGACAAAAAACTTTCTACTATTATAAACTTGAAATGTGGGATAATAAATTATTTATCTGAAAAATTATTAAAAGTTCAAAATACAGCCCATATAGACCTTCAAAATTGACAAAAGAAAACAGAACATAACCTTTAAATTGAAACACTTGCTACCAAAAGAAAACAATTGATTATTTCCAGGGATAAAATTAGAAATTAGAATCAACACAAAGAAAAAAGGGGACCAAAAAGTTGAAAATTCGAATCTAAATAAGTAGTGAACGTAGAAAAATCAATTAAAACTATACTAAAAAGTAAATGTTAAAAGACTAGTCTAAACCGCGTCTGAGCCGTAAGGTTCAAGACTCTTCTCATCATCCTTAATAAGCTCACTGAATCTTGACTTCTTGTCTGAAGGAGAAGGAGCCAAAGCCTTCAGAGATTGACTTCTTGTGTTAAGGTAAGTATACAACGACGTCCCTATAATCGCCACAATCGCACCGCAAACGCTAACCACACCACTATTCGACCCGAAAATGTAGAAGTTCCCAAGTAGGAGGACACATGTCTTGAATTGTCCTAGCACAACGTGCGTGATTGCAGAAGTTGCTCTGCAGACAATGGAAAACATATAAGTCTTGCGCGTCCTGACCACACTAACATACATGAAAAGGTTAACTCACCCGAGAGCTAAAGCTCCTGACCACTGAAGAAAGAAACCAAGAAAAGCTGAAACGAAAATGGCGGATGTGTTGGCAAGGCTCCAGTCGAAGGACAGAGCGCCTGGTGGATCCAAGAAGGGTATCATTGATACTAGAAACAAGAGAGTGATTGGAGTTGTCTTCCACATTAACCTGTTTATATTCATAAAGAAAGATGTTGATGATACAAGGAGAATGAAATTAAAACATAATAAGAATATGATTTGATTCAACATACGCTAATGCGGTCCAGTTTTCTCGTTGTTGCATGTTTGACCATAAGATTTTGTTGGTAGCGCTAGGTATGATCCATGCTAAAGCCACACAAGCACCAAACAGACTAAACTGTAAATCTGTTACAGTTGCAACCGCTACTCCAACAGATACAACTGTAAGTGCAACCACCTACAAGAGACATCAGCGGCAAAGTTACTACCATGGTTCTAAAATTTGGCATAGGTGCCCACCTAGCCGAAACAATTTTTAAAAAATCTAATTTATACGGACTCAAATCGGTTAAAATTATTCTAAGTTATTTAAAATCGATTAAATCAATCCTAATTAGTCTAAATCTGTTAAATTAATCAATAATATTTGTACAAATTGACAAAATGCCTAATTTCTTGTTTAGTATAACTAAATCCAAAAAAATAAAATATCTTATATAAATGTAAACCTCAACCCGAATAATCTGCCTAGTCACTAGTCCACTACATAGAACCTAGTTAACTAGTTAACGCCTAGTCTAGGATTTCTTGAACATTGCTTACTACTAGGCATAGGCGTTCGGATATCCGTTCGGATTTGGGATTTGGGTCGGGTTTTCGGATTTTCAGGTTTACTCTATCTATAGTAGTAACTTACTACTATACCAAAGTCTTTCTCTTTCGTCCTTGATTCTATAAAATCCTAGTCCTAATGAACCATTGCAAATCCAATTCAGTATTAGTTACCTTCATGAAAGAAACTCTCTTTCTAAACCACAAGAACTCTGCAAACACAATAGAAGGCGTGACCGCGATTTTCGCCATCTGGTAGAATCCAACACTGGAAAACAAAAACCACCGTGTGTGAGAAACTTTACCGAGCTATATAATAAATGTATAACAAAATTGAGTGACACAAACCTGTTATACTTGAGGCTAACATTAGCGAGACCAGTAGAGAGAGACATAACAATGCCAAGAGTGTAGAGCGAAAGAGAGGATGACTTCGAGGAAGGTGGTGGAGCGGGAAGAAGGGAGAATGATTTGAGAAGAGCCATTAGTAGAAAAGCCACAATGTAGTGGATGAATGTGAGGAACACTGGGAACTCAAAGCCTATGTTTTTAAGCACCTATGAAAAACACTTACTTTGATGAGTTTCACTAAAGAGTAATAGAGAAGAGAGTTAAAGAAAGTGAAAAGATTACCCATTTGTTCATGAAGATAATGCTAATAGCAACGAAGAAGTTGAAAGTGAGAGCAACCGTTGGACCACAGATACGGTGTGACTGTTGTTGTTGTTGCTGCTGTTGTCTCTTTGGAGTCTCCGGTGAACGGAATCTGTTGAATAAAGATGCTCGCAAGTCCTCCAATGCTTTCCCTATTAGGATTATTCAAATCAAAACCCTAATTGAGTGATTGAAATTAGAGAGTGAATTTAAAAAGGAAGTGTACCTTTTTCACCAGCATCACTGTCTTTGCGTTTGAGAATCTTCTTGACATCTTTGCCAAGCCATGAGCTAATCATCATCTTCGGTTTTAATAACATTGTTTAGATTCGGGAAAAATCAGAACTCACCCACCATAGTGATTGGGGGAGAATCGAAATAGGTTTCGTCTCTCTCTCTCTGTGTTTCGATTGATTGGGAGTGAATTAGAGTGATTAAGATTTTTTGGAGAGAAGAGATGAAAAAGAGAGAAGAAGACAGATGGAGAGAAACACGTGGCGGTAATAACGGGAGGATGGAGATTGAAAGCTTTATTTTTGTTTGTTTTTTTGTAGTATTTGCTGAAGTTGGAGCAAATCACGGTTCTTCACCGACCATTAAAGAAACAGAGACGATGTCTCGGAGAGTAAGAGTGTTTGTAGAGTAGAGTAAACGCGCTTCTTCACGCGTGATTTTTTTAACCTAGTAGCAAAGACGATGTTCTCTTTTTAATTTAAAAAATGACTAAAATATATTTATCGACCGAATAATTAAAGATTTCAGTCGACAGAAAAACAAAAGACTCGACTGGTTTATTTGGCTTTTCGTCGGAGTGCTTTCCGTGTCCTGACTCAGATGTGGGACCAACTCTTTTCACGGTTTCTGTTAAACGGTTATTCACCGTCCGTTGTTTGGATGTTTTATCCGATCGTTGTAGGAGAGATAGACTTTTATCCTATTCTTTTGTTTGGCCCACTACTCTAAGGCCTCAATATCGTTGATAAAAATATCTAAAAAAAATGTTCACTATGGGAGGCTACAGAACAACGACTTTACTAGTCGAGCTGATAAAATAAAGGTTTAGACATGATCACGCGTTCTTTTTGCCCGAACACTCTTTGCGAATTTTAAAAACTTTTGGTTATAAAAACTTCATGAATCCAAAGGTAATCGATCTTATTACCAAAAAAACTTATTTGTAAAACCGGGCCAAATAGGCCCAAACCCACTAATATCTAGGCCTAAAGATCAGTTTCTTTTTTGTGCAAGTTATCCGCTCACTGGAGCATGATTATTGGGAGTTCTTAGTGGATTTATTAAGGAGTTTTTCTTGCGTGGGTTCTATGAACGGTATAAGAATCGGTAACAAAATTATGAATTAAAAACCGATTTTTAAGGGTTTCTTGCACTGTTTACAGGCTTCACTGACATGTGGTAATCCATGATTGGTTCGTTTTTAATTTTTAATATAAAAAAAAACAATAAAACTTAAGAAATTCAAGTGGATTCATATGGTAATCCATGATTGGTTCGTTTTTAATTTTTAATTTTTAATATAAAAAAAAACAATAAAACTTAAGAAATTCAAGTGGATTTTAGGAATAATGATGCCCTCACATAGTAGAGCTGACACATAATCATCAATCATGTTCTTACAAGGAGACAGTTACTTAAGATAGCGTGATTAATCAGAAGAGAAGCAAATGCAACAAAAAAAATGTTGCTTATAATAAATTATAATCATTCTTCGTCTCGATCTCTCCTCGCTTCCTCTTTTTTTTTCGTCTCTCTCATGTCGGAAACCCCTTCACCAGAAAACAAAAGCAAAGATTCAGAGATCAAGACATGAAACATTTTCTTCACTTTAGCACCGAATAAACCAAACCTAAACTGAAGTTAGTGTGCACTCCGAACCAAACACAGTAACCAAAATCAACACACCTAATTGTCAATGTCTAACTACTTACTGCGGATGCCTAACTTACCTTCCTCTGACTTCTCCTAGAACCTCTTGAGCTTTAGCACCACAACCCGAATCAGCACCATCCTATAAAAACACAAAGAAGTTAATGTAACGACCCAAAACCCAGTAAAATTATTTCGGCCCGGCTAGGCCCAGTAGTGTGGCAGAAACCCTAAACTCTTCTTATTTAAAGAGAGATTAATGTTCAGCAGACACGTTTTGAGAGAACAGAGTAACGACTAATCAAATCTAAGAATTTCGAAGCAAAATTTTGAGGTTATGTTTTACACTCTTAGATCTACGTATATCAGAAAACGGATCGTCATTTGGAATTTTTATCTAAGAGTTATGATTATTTCTTCCTGACTGATTTCTGCAGATCGGATCTACCAGCAGTCATCTTCATCAGTATTTTCCCGTTGATCCAGAATGAACCAGGAAACGAGCGAGATATCATTGGAAAGATCTCAATGTCAGCTTTTTAGATCATCTTTCCGATCGTAAAACAAAGGTACAGTTAGAGAGTTATTGATGGTTCTTCGTGGCGATAATTAAACTGTTGTGTTGCAGAGGCAATTCCGAGAAGTCTCAGCGTAAAGGCGAAACGGTCAACCTAAACAAAAGCTTTCAGTCTGGAAATTGGTCAGTAAGTAGTTAGTTCTTTTATCTATCACCCACAGCAAGCGGATCATCATTTCGATTTATTTTCTGAGAGTTATGTCTAATTTCGTGAAAGGTGTTGGTGCAGTCTGCGTTTGCGACCAACTTGGAGGCT